AAGTGCAGCGTGTGGCTGATCCAGACGGGACCACACTTTAATGTGAAGTGACTGAATTACAAACCTGAGCTCCTCCTCCATAATGTATTAAACTACAGTCAGACGGGTTGGAACGCATGCTATGGCGTGCAGTTTGTGTGTGTGTGTGTGTGTGTGTGAGTGTGTGGGGAGGAAGTAGAAGTCACTTATTAAACAGTTTAAATAGTCCTGAACCTCCTGCTGTGCTGCAAATGATTTGTCTGGACAAACAACGGCGCCACACAGCTGACACGGCGCCTCGGCCAGGCGTGTGCGTGCAGACTGATAACGTCGCTCTCATTACTAATTTATTTCTTTAACTCCAGTCTGGGAGAAAATGAAACTCTTTTTCACGTATTCCTCTGGTGCTGACAGCGGGACGCAGCGTATTCTTCTGCTCCACGTTCTCTCTGTTAATTATCTGTGAAGCTAACGTTCTGCCCTGTAACGCCGCGTCTCCGTGGGCTCCAACATACCACCGCACTGGAGACGTGAGCCGGTTATTGTTCCCTCTGTCGTTCCTCTCTGCTCTTCTTCCCCATCTTTTTGTCTGGGTTACCCCCCCCCCCCCTCTGATGTGAACATCCTGTCCTGTTACAGTGTGTGTTTGACTTTGTCTCAGGCTGTGACACTTGAGAAAAGATCAGGTAGTATCATGAAGAACAAGAGGTGCTCAGCAGCCGCCGTGAGAAGACGGAGAACTGTGCTGAGAGCTGTTCCTATAAAACCACTGCTTATTGGTTAGAACACTCTGCTCAGAGGGACCATGTCAAAGTGTCAATTTGACTGAAAAAGTGAAATACTTCTGTCCTTACAAGGACAAAGTCTGTCTTAGTACTAAGGAACAGAACCTTCTAGAACCAGAGACTAGACAGACAGTTCTCTGTTTAAAGACAGACAGAAGGAACATCTACAGCAGCTACTTTACCACGGACTAAACACCGACCAAGGCCATGTGGTGGTGAAGTGGTTGATCCCTTTGCCTTACAGCTAGAGGATCAGAGGTTTAAAACCTGGTGCTAACAAACAGACATCTGATTTCTGTGATTAAATCCACGTTGTCTACAGTTGTTCTGGGTATTTTCATGACTTTTTATCCAGAAACTTTACACGTAAGTTTGGCAGCTGCTGATTGGTCAGTGCCAACAGTGTGTTAGTGTAATTATTTACTCCTCAGTGACCTCTTGGATTTCCACGAGGCCTCATATGCGGTTTATTTACCACCAACATTTGTAAACATCCATTAAGTACAATTTCTCACAGGTCGATAAATTTCCCTGCGTGTTTACTTTGAGACAGACTTCAGTGACTGTCCTGTAAAGGAGGCGTCTCATGGACACCATCTGTGTGTGTCCCCTCCTCCTCCTCCTCCTCAGCAGCCCACCACCACAGCTCAGTGCCAGCCCTCTCCCTGCACACCAGGATTAACAGCACTTAAATGGTCCTGTTAGCACAGCACCTCCTCACTGCCTCCCACGCCGACTCAAACACACCCCACTGCCAACAGCTTTGTGCTTGCACAGCACTGCCTCATGTGTTTTTGTTCCCTGCTCACCCCCAGACACCCAAGACCTCTCCAATAAATGGCTCTGAAGTGTACTCGGGGGGGGCTTTTGGAATCTTTGTGGACGAAAGAGGAAAAACATGGGACTTGGAGGAAGGTACGGTACATCTTGAAACTGTAACAAAGAGGCTGTGATCAAAATGTCCCTCTCTCTCTCTCTCTCTCTCCTGTCTCAGTCTCTGCACAGGTCTCTCCTTCAGTTTCCTCTGCGTCTGGTTCTAACACTTCCCCCTCTTGAAACAGACACAGAAATACACAGGGGAGAAATGGAGGCCCGCTAAAGAAATCAATAAATAAAATGGATCTCCATTTGGGTCTGTTGGCCTAGAAACAGCTGGGACGACAGACAGAGTGGCCCACTGTGTCTGTGGCCCACTGTGTCTGTGGTCCACTGGACTGTTGACACATAGTGTCACAGGAAACCAAATAAATAAAAACTTTCTTCTTTTTCTTTCGGCTTTGTCCCTTTTTTTTCTGGGGTTGCCACAGTGAATCACTGACCTCATTCCTGATTCTGTCCATTCTTTGGTCATTCAAAATTGGTCAGTTTTTGAAAAATTTTGTTAAAATCTTTTAAAAAAAAATTTTTTGAAAAAAATTAAAAAAAATATATATTGAAATTTTTTTTTTTAGAAATTTGATTTTGAAAATGTTTTTCATTGAAAAAAATGTTTTCAACTTTTTTCAGGAGTTGCTACAGCAAATGATTGATTTCCATCTGTCCCTGATCTCTACATCTCCTCCTCTGACTCCAACTATCTGCATGTCCTCCCTCACTGCATCCATATATCTCCTCTTTGACCTTCCTCTCTTTCTCCTACCTGGTAGCTCCATCTCCAACATTCTTCTACCAATGTATCCACTGTCCCTCCTCTGCACATGTCCAAACCATCTCAATCTGGCTTCTCTGTCTTTTTCTCCTAACCTTAATCTTTTTTTGAAAAATGGTTTTTTTTAATTTTAAAATTTTCAACTTTTTTCCGGAGTATTTCTTGCAGAAACTGGATGAGGGTTAGAATCCCTGATCTACCCTGACATTTAACAGTACAGCCTTCTGGCAAAAAAAAAAATCAGTTTTCTATAAACACACAAACAAAAGAGTTGTTTGAGGTTCACACAGGAACATAAAATATATTGACTCTGCAGATTCACACACACAACCATATGGAGCATCATAAGGGAATATTAAAGGGCCACCTGTCACAGTCCTACCACAAACTAAACTCCAGCGTTTCTACCTCAGCTCTGAACAGATGGAACATCAGAGATGAGATATCGTCACGTTTTATCGTCCAATCATGTGGAATCAAGCAACATTTGAAGGGACTTCTCTGTGAACAAACTCATCAGGATGTAACAAATGTGTTTTCAACATGCTGGTAGACCTGGCCTTCAGAACATCCAGGCTCTCACAGCATCTGTGCCGTCACCACACTGAACAGAAAAGTCTGCAACCGTTTCAGATTAAAAACCTACCTCCTTTATTTCTTCAGGCAGTGGGTGGACTGGAGGACAGAGCTGGAATCTTCCCATCTCCTCTTCCTGCACCTCCTCCGTGGGCCTGTCACCGTCTCCTGAAACAGCAGAAACACTGTTAATACATGACATTATATATTATTATGATGTAAACAGGAAGAAGAAGAGAAGCCCCTCCCCCTGTGGTTTGTGTAATTATTCATTTCAGTTTTAAAGCTACTGTAAAAAAAATTATCACGGGCATCGTTAGCGTTGACTGAGCTTATCAGTCCTTCAGGATGGCGCCACTGAGGGTGGTAACTGAAACTGAGAGTCGTCTTCATGGGGAGAGCTCAGTGGACACGGTCAGCTGCTGCACATTCCTGGTGTTGGACATCTGTCTGGTCACTGCACACTGATGATGTCATCACAGCAAACACCACTGTGTGTTTTAACTGTTGTCATCCAGTAAACTGACGTGGTAATTTACAACTGATGCTTAAACTGTACAAAAAAATTTACTTTATACTGAATCAATAAAAATAGAAACTCATACGTTCAATGATTCACTATTATTAATGAATTGTTTGATGCAGTTAATTAGAAAGCCTTTGACAGAGAAATTCTAAATAGTACTAACCACAGAGACAATCAGCTCAGGAAACATTCACATTTAAAAAAAAATATATATATATATATACTTTTTTTTAAAACAGTTTGAAAAATAACGTGTTAAAAAAAAGAAAGAAAAAGAAACGTACATTTTTTACTCAGGTTATTGTGAAATGGCTGCAGACTGGTTTGAACCTGATTCACCTGATTTTCCATGTCTGTGGTTATTTTGAGCCGACAGCCGTGCACCGTCAGACTACAGCGTAACAGCAGCTTCAGTCAACCTTACGTTGTTGACATTCAGCAGGTTCTCGGGGTTGATCCTGCTGTGACCGAGGCCACAGACGGTCGTGAGAGGAGCTCAGTAATGCAAGACCAACCCAGCCGCTGTCTGTCACTGCACGCTTTCAGGGCATTTATCAATCAGCTCACTATTACTGAAGGGAGAGCATCACGCCAACACAACACTTGACCTCAGATTAAATACCTCTGGCTAACTCAGGGGGGCAGAGGTCACGCTAATCAGATGGTCCCCTCTGCACGGCTGCATGCCAGACATAAACGCCCTGAGAGGCCGTTTCAGGGAAACAGAGTGAGAGGAGAACGCACAGTAAACACAACACAGGAATTTAGCCGAGAGCACGAAGCAGACAGAGTCAAAAACTGGCAGGTTTAATGTGACTGAGCATCTATTAAAGCACTAGCATGTCAACAAGCTTGTGTACCATCTCACACACACACCGTGCCCTGTCCACGGGCAGTCTTCGTGCTCACGCACACTAATAGCACGATTGCTCCCCCCCCCCACTGTCTCCAGGCCCTGTACTTCAAAGACTGATCCTTCATTGACTCACACAACACAGATACATTAGTGACAGCAGTGGGCAGGCCTGTCCTTTTAGATGGACACTGATAGAAGGGACTCATTTGGCATGTCAACTGTCCCCTCGTGACATTTTGTCTGTTTCAGCCCTGATTGAACTATTAATCAGCCTAATGTGAGAGAGGCAAGCTGTTCATAAACTAATCTATTCTGCATGGACGCATGCCTGAGTCATGAAAGGGAAACACATGAGAGAGCAGGGTTTGGCCTGGGCACAAAGACAGACACTGAGGGAGAAACGGTTTACTACAGGAGAAGAAGAAGAAGAAGAAAAAGAGGAAGAGTAAGGAAAAGAAGAAGAAGAAGAAGGAGAAGAGGGAGAAGGAGAAGAAGAAGAGGAAGAAGAAAAAGAGGAAGAGTAAGGAAAAGAAGAAGAAGAAGGAGAAGGAACAGAAGAAGTTGTTCTGAATCAGCAGACAAAATGTACTTATGACTTTCATATAATTAATGACAATAAGTTGTTCTGATCCAGCAGACAAAATGTACTTATGACTTTCATATAATTAATGACATTTAATGTTATTATTATTACTATTATTACTACTACTTTCATTGCATCTGTGTCTTATCAGTGTACTTATGACTTTCATATAATTAATGACAATTAATGTTATTGTTATGTTATTATTATTACTATTATTACTACTACTTTCATTGCATCTGTGTCTTATCAGTTAACAGCAGGGAAAACAAATTTACATTAACAACTATATTCAATTTAATTCATTAGATGAATGTCATATATAAATATATATATTAACTGTGTATGTATATATATATATATATACAGTTTATATATAAATACATATATGTATAATTTGCGTAGAGCCAACACAATGTTTTACAGATTAGTGTATATTGGTACGTCACAAATGTATACCCAAAATTCTAAAATAAACACTACTTATTATCAATAAAACAATTTATAACGCTGGATTTAAAACGCAAAATACATCGAAAAAAATATTCTCATAAAACGTTCCGAACGAACGAATCAGTTCACCAATAAATACGTTATATACACGTTACAAACAAACCGTCCGTCTCTGCTTCACTCATACGTTCAACACTGCGCTAATATTATCGATGTCCGTTAATTTGTAAGATTTGCGAGTGTGTACGTACCCATAATAAGACGAATTTATGAAAAACTTTGAAGAAATAAAAAAGAAATCACTAGAATTGCTAAGGGATTTTAGCTTGAACTTTCTTCGTTCGCGGGCCTGCCCTGTTACTATGGTAATGACGTAACGGACAAACATATATAGGAAGTGACAAATAAATACCGGATGTTGGTGTTCTACCAAAATAAAATTCTGAAGTTTTTAAAAATACAAAGATTTTTACACTATTAAATTGGTATTTGGTATTTTTGGTATTGGAAAAAAGATAATCAGTGATGATTAGGCTTTTAAATAAATAAATAAATAAATGTATATATATATATATATATATATATATATATATCAGTAATAAAGTAATACAATCTAATCCCTGAGTGACTTTGACCTTTAATTTTTACAGTTTATTTTCAGAATGAACTTCAAGTGCCAGCCTTTGCTGGTCACCACTGGTACTGCAGTCACAACAACACTTCAAGGGGGCTATAAAACGTGCTGTTTAGAGTAATAAATCATTGTTAACTACGAGAATGTGTATGTATAAATCATACCCAGGAGACTGTTACACTCCTCTTGATCACTGCAGCCCAGAGCTAGTGCCAAGCCCAGATTAATGCCAGGGTGTGTGTCAGGAAAGGTGTGTAGCCTAAAACATTTTTTGCCAAATCACACTTGTGGATAATCCACTGAACCCTTGAATTGTACAGTAGAAGGAAGCAACAAAAAGAGGCTATACTGTATTTGTATACAGTCATTTTTCACATTATCACAAGCATCTGTGATTAATCACAGTGAGTGGAAACGTCAGTCGGTCACGGTGATCACTACAGCGTCACGCTTTCCTATGGTTGGTTTTTCATTTCTTTTTTCTATACAGCCTAGAATTCTTTTACCACTTAGTAGATACTGTCTGTATGAAATAAACACGGAATATTAAAAACAGACCGACGGTGCCCTAAAGTCACACTCGCTCAGCTCTGCTGTACGCCTGTATGCACAGGTCACACGCCATGCACTGTTTGGGTTGTGTGCATATGACTCGCTGCCTTAGAAGTAATGTGAAACAACGGGCAGACATCCCTGCAGGGGCTTTCACAGGCATAATCCTTCTGTGGTAATATATTGTTAACAAATGTCTTTTGACGGACATTCTTGTGTTTTTTTTATGTGATATCATTGCTCTCATTTTTTGTGTGTGCATGTGCTACTCCCTGGAACGAATCGTGCATGAGAGATCGCTCCACGATTTAAGTTCGGATGCACGATGTGCTATTTGCGGAGTCGTCAATGAGTCGTGCAGACTCGGGCTCCATGATGCAAATGAAACTCGCCCACTCAAGTCTGGCCTACCTTCCGTGTTTGTCTATCTGCCCTGGCAGCAGGAAACTAATAGGCGACGTGACTCGAGGGGGGGGGGGGGGGGGGGACAGGGGCAGTGATCAACCTCAAATTCATCTTCTCCAAATATGGGAGTGAAGAAAGAAGACGAGCTCTCTCTGTGCTCGTGTCTCAGTCTGTGGTTTCCTTCTGAATGGACACACACTCCATTATCCCTGTGGCAAGGACAAAAGGAGGAGGAACAAAATCAATATGCCGAGCACAAAACCTGGATCAGGATTTAAGTAGAAATTGGTTCTTAATAATCAAAAAAATTGTCTCCTTGACGGAGCAGCGTGTTTATTACAACAGATTCATCAGATCGGCCGCGTCGTTTCAGGATAATTCCAAGCTCTATTTCATTTCAGCTCACAGTAATTTAATCCATTAAGGTTTATAATTACCGACAGGTAATTTGCATGAAAATAAACTATCTCATTTTAATTGTGTGTGGACTGTATTCTGTGGCAGAGGCAAATGAACCTTATTCATGAAGGTGCATTCAGTTTTTAAAGGGCCGCGGAGCCTGAAGGGATCTGGAGCTGGGAATCTATTCAGTCTCTTTCCGGCACGATATGGTTGGGGGGGTAAAGGGGGGGGGGTATAATGAAGCATGCTAAGTGTGCGCTTGTGTGCGTGAAAGAGAGTGTGTGTTGTTTAAGAGACAGCAATGAGAAGAAGAGGCAGGATGTGTGTGTGTGTGAGAGTGAATTTTTAGAGAGTGGAGGAGGGCAGAGTGTGACCCACTATTTTCTTTTTTGTTATGAAATGTCTAATAATACCACAGTGACATGTGGTGGAGGAGGTGGAGCCCAGATCCAGGTCCAACGTGTCCTAAATAAAAACTGATAAGCGATGATGCTGCGATGCTAAAGTGAGAAGTGGAGGTGAGAACGCACACGTGGGTCGTTCTTCTTCTACTGTGACACAGTGTTCTCGACATCAGCCTCATCACAGACCAACTGTTCTTCTTTAAATACCTGGTTAACACTTGGTCACTCATGAGCAGAACAGAACCACACGCAGCTGAAGTCACGAAGGGATCTTTGTACTATTTCTGGGGAAAAGAAATGAAAGTGTGGTTCATCCATACGTCAGAGTACAGAGTGGACCTTTGGGGTTGGTGAGGCTCAGCTGTCGTAGACATCGACTTCATACGATGTGTTCACAGTCACTGACAGGTGTAGGTCACCTGACCTTCACTGGTCTTCACCTACAACCTGGAGAACGAACGCTGTACGACCTGGAAAAGTAAAAATGACAGAATAATTCATTTAGAAAAAACAAAACCAAAAACGACGTTAGTTACAATGAAACATTCTTTTTTTTTACTTTGTATTTATTGTATAATTGTCTTTTTAAAATCTAATTTAACTAATCAAATACAACATAAACTGAAGTGTAATTTCTGTCTCCAGGTCTGTCCTGCCCCTCCCCCCGATCTTCCTCTCTTGAATCTGTGTCCCTACCACTCAGACTTTATCTGCAGCAGGACTATTAGTTGTGTGTGTGTGTGTGTGTGTGTGTGTGTGTGTGTGTGGACTGAATGGATTTGCATGAGAGCCAGTGCGGTGACCCTGCTCTCTCACGCCACGGCTGCAGCAGAACAAATGGACGAGTGGGTTGTCGTGACAGCACACTCCCATCAGTTTAAATACGACGGCTACACGCATGTGTGTTTGTTTGTGTGTGTGTGTGGCTGTGTGTGTGGCTGTGTGTGTGTGTCCCTGCGTGGCTGTGTGTGTGACTGTGTGTGTGTTGTAGGAAGCAGTCAGACTCAGGTCAAGTCTTTGCAGCTTTGCAGTGCTTCACGTGCTGGCTCCAATAACCTCTGAGGTTCTGGGTGTGTGTGAGACAGTGGTGAACATCAGCAGTGACACACACACACACACACACACACAGTCACAGTCACAGTGAGGAGGAACAGGTCGGTCCTGAAAGGCTCGATCAGGATTTCTAATTTACTGCTCTGTGTCGTGGGTTAATAAGAGTTCACTGCAGCGACCGTGACATTTATGATGACACTGGCAGCTGAAACTGTGACATCAAACTGTCAGAAATAGAAGTTGTGGAAACTGCAATCACAAAATGAAAGGTCTAATTAATTCTTTTTATTTTAACAAAATGACTCATTCTGTCCCAACAAAAAAAAACACAAAACACACAGTATTTGTCATTACTGTGGCCTGTACTGCTGCTGTTACTGCTACTGCTGCTGTTACTGCTGCCGCTGCTGTTACTGCTGCTGGTACTGCTGCCGCTGCTGTTACTGCTGCCGCTGCTGTTACTGCTGCTACTGCTGCTGTTACTGTTAATGCTGCTGTTACTGCTGTTACTGTTACTGCTGCTGCTACTGCTGCTGTTACTGTTGTTTCTGCTGCTGCTGCTTTTACTGCTGCTGCTGCTGCGGCTGCTGCTACTGCTGCTGTTACTGCTGCGGTTTCTGCTGCTGCTGTTACTCTTGCTGCTGCTGTTACTGTTGTTTCTGCTGCTGCTGCTTTTACTGCTGCTACTGCTGCTGGCACTGCTGTTGTTATTGCTGCTGCTGCTGCGGCTGCTGTTACTGCTGCCGCTGCTGTTACTGCTGCGGTTTCTGCTGCTGCTGTTACTGCCGCTGCTGCTGTTACTGCCGCTGCTGCTGCTGCTGCCGGTGCTGCTGTTACTGCTGTTACTGCTGCTACTGCTGCTGTCACTGCTGCTACTGCTGCTGCTGCTGGTGCTGCTGTTACTGCTGCCGCTGCTGTTACTGCTGCGGTTTCTGCTGCTGCTGTTACTACTGCTGCTGCTGCTGCTGGTACTGCTGCCGCTGCTGTTACTGCTGCGGTTTCTGCTGCTGCTGTTGTTACTACTGCTGCTGCTGTTACCGCTGCTGCTGCTGTTACCGCTGCTGCTGCTGTTACTACTGCTGCTGCTGTTATTACTGCTGCTGCTGTTCCTGCTGCTGTTACTGCTGTTACTGTTACTGTTACTGCTGCTGGTACTGCTGCCGCTGCTGTTACTGCTGCTACTGCTGCTGGCACTGCTGTTGTTATTGCTGCTGCTGTTGCTGCTGCTACTGCTGCTGTTACTGTTACTACTGCTGCTGCTGTTACTGCCGCTGCTGCTGTTACTGCCGCTGCTGCTGCTGCTGCTTTTACTGCTGCTACTGCTGCTGCTGGTGCTGCTGTTACTGCTGCCGCTGCTGTTACTGCTGCTTCTGCTGCTGCTGCTGCTGCTCTTATCTTCAGGGTATCATCAGTGGATTTGTGTGGCTGCTCTTGTCTGCCGTGGTTTGACTGTGGCCGTATTGCCGTACTGATGTCACTCACACATTTGGTGATGATTACAGTTTCTGTCCCCGCGGTGGCGTTCCTACAGCTTTATGTCTAAGATTTATTGAACAAGGGAAACAGTTTGTTTTGGTTGGAAAACCAAGGATAAACATTTTTTTTTAGACAAGTCGTGCTGACGGTCGAGGAAAGGGAGCGGCTCTGAAGAAGTCGAGGCGACCGAGATAAAAACAGACGCTTCGGTTCGTGTCACATCCAAGAAAAAAAAAAAAACAGAAAATATTCATAGTCCTGCTAGGGTTAAAGGGAGGCTGGAGGGGCAGCACATTAGTCCAGCTGCACCTCTGGACTCTGGAGACGTCGTCCTGGGAACATGTTGTGGTTTCACTCAGCTCTGTGAAACAACAAAGAACCAAGATTTTTCTTTTCTGTCTTTTTAATTTCCTCTTCATTGTTGCTGTTGATGGTCGGTCGGTCGGTGTGTGTGTGTGTGTGTGTG